GAGGAGGAGGTGAGGAGGAGTGAGACGAGTCCAGGTTCTGGTACAAGGGTGACAACCCATAAAATTCTTCGACACGTTGATTTTTCGTGATTACCCCCCTTTAATCATCAGAAGTGCACGTTTTGCCAAACGGTAGCTGATAGTCTTTCTAGTGTGTTCAGTTCCCTTTAGTTTTAGAAGAGGTTTTACGGCGCTCGCAACTGCATAAGGTCATATGAGCGCCAGAAGTTTAGAGGGTTTACAAGAGAGTAACAAACATAAAAAAGAAGAAGGGGAGATAAGGACGATAGATGTTCCCTTCTTTTTCTTTTTATAAGTACTCATAGCCAGAATAATATATTCCTTTAAGTACAGACTTCAACATAGGACCACCTTAGCAGACAGTAATGATTTTTTTTATCTAAAAAAAAGGACAGCAAGGAATGTTTCAAATTTGTTTGCTGTGAAAGTGTTCATGGGTTACGAATATGTACTACTAAGCTTCCTAAAGGGGCAAAACCACCACGTGCTGGAGGGAAATCCTCGGGGAATTTTAGTCAAAATTTGCTGGTTTTTATCGACTTGTGTTCAACACCACGGACATTATTCAGTTAAAATGTCTGGTGCACGTTGTAAACGGGCGTGTGCTCTCGAACTGTGCTCACGTTAGTGGCAATATAAGCCGCCGTTTGCGCTAAATTCAGTATCGCATCAATATGCCACCGAGACGAAAGCTGAGAGACTTCGATCGTGTCAGAGCTATGGCATGGCTAAAGGATGGAGTTGGAGCCAGAGAAGTTGCTAGAAGGCTTGCAGTGTCACACTCTGTCATTGTCTGCCTGAGGCAGCGCCATCAAGCAACTGGATCAGTCCAAGAGCACCCATGTACAGACGACATAAGAAGACCACCCAGAGTGTTTGCAAGTGGTTCTTAACTAATATGTTGAAGTCTGTATATGGCTGTTACTGCGCTGACTCATGAATAGTGGGTCAACAACAGAGTCTCATTGATTAACTTTGGCAGCTCCGTTACGTTGTTCTGGTGGTGATGGTGGTGATGGTGGTGGTGGTGGTGGTGGTGGTGATGGTAGTGGGTCGTTGGTGGTTGTGAAGATTGTTGTTGTGGTTGTGGTGGTCTATGGTGGTTGTGGTATTGGCGGTGATAGAGGTGTTTGTCATTGTGATTGTGGTGGTGAGGTTCAACGGTAGTTAGTGGCGATAGTTGTAGTTGTAGTGATAGTAGTAGATATAGTGGTAGAGGTAGCAGAAGTATTTCTATAGATAAATCGTGATTATCCCCTGGTCTCCAAATCGCAACACTGTCTTGAGCTCTTTGGTAGCATAATTGACCATGTGTGGCAAAGAAAGGGTTAAAATGAGTAGACAGAAAATGGGTTCTTTGAAGGGCATGAAAGGTGTTGAGCAAAAAAACAAAAATTCAATAAAAATTCACAAATCTGCGGAAAAATGCCAGTTTCTTCACTTTGATTATTTTGTCGAGAGCCTGATTCCACCACGCTGCCTCACAAATATGAATTTGATGAAAAGGGAAATAAGAGTAGATAAACCATCCTTCCTTCACAACCAATCAAGTGGGCTTTTTGTGTTTCAGTAAGCATTTTACAGCACACGCAACGCAACTAGGTCATAGAAGTGTCGAAGATTAGAGGTGTTACAAGAGAGTAACATACAGGAAAAAAGAAGGAGAGATAGGAACGATAGATATTTGAGAGGAAAGAAGAAGCAAACCACACCAGAGCACCCGTCTTATGTCCATTCTAAGTCAATATTATGTCGTATATACAGCGCACACAAAAAGTCTCAATGGGAAGATAAAAGATAATTAACAATAGTCAAAGGGCGACAATCGGGAAAACTTTTTGATGCATCTATTTTTCATGATTATCTCCCTTTCATATGAACTAAGTTTGTTTGTAGCAATATTATTTTATTATTTTATTGATGTG